CCCAGGAGTTGGAGGTTGCTGTGAGCTGTAATGCCACAGCACTCTACCCAGGGGGACAGATTGAAGCTCTGTCTCAAAAAAAAAAAAAAAAAAAAAGGAGATAGAACTCACCTACTATAAAGTCCACCCTTTTGTGTTTGTTTGTTTATTTATTTATTTTTAGACAGAGTCCAGAGTCTCATTAATCATAGCTCACTGCAACCTCTCAAGTAGCTGGGACTACAGGTGCCCGCCGCAATGCCCGGCTGAGGCAAGAGAATCACTTGAGCCCAAGAGTTTGAGGTTGCTGTGAGCTATAACGCCACAGCACTCTACTGAGAGCAACATAGTGAGACTCTTTCTCAAAAAAAAAAAAAAAAGTGAGTTGCTATTGGCTCTTTTCCTAGCACCGCCCACTCCCCCAACTCCACACTGTTGCCAGCAGTGGACTGGTATTGCCTGTCCTCTTGGCCACAGGCATCCCAGTGAGGGAGAGTGGTCACCGACTCATCCACTTTTAGGTGCTCGGTGAACACAGGTCTTCTGAGCACTTTTTCTGCCCCTGAGGACCTGAAAGTGCCTCCTCTCTGTCCCCTAAGAACTTGTGACCAGTGGAATGGTGGGGGTAGAGGTGGGGTGTCTTTCACTTGTCAGCTGAGCCCCAGGGTTATGAGTGGCCTAGTAGATGGGGCCACAGGGTAGATGGGGAAGAAGGATCCTCATGTATTCTGGGCTGCACAGGCCTGGCCTGAGCTTGCTGACCAAGTCTCAGAGGCTAGAAGGTGCCACCTGCCCTAATACCTCCTGGCTCTTCCCCAGCCCACAGGGCAGATGAGCTGCTGCCTGCTGGCTGGGAAGGGCAGCATCTAAAGGCATTGGTCATCTTAGCTGCTCCTCTGTTGTTTATTGGTAGGCCACAGTCCCTTCTTCCCTCAGCTCTGGTGTCCTAACAACAGCCTCTTCTCCCTAGAGGGGCCCAAAGGCAGGTGGCTGGGGCTTTGGGTGGACCTGGAGTCAATTTCATACCCAAGGCCAAAGAGGGTCCAAGGACTTGAGCTCTGAGAAAGCAGAAGCCAGGCCTGCATTCCTCCAGCCCTGGGTGCCTGGCTGTGTCCCTAGGCTGGGCCCTCCTGCCCACTTCCCCCAGCCCCTTTTTCTCCACAGTTGAGAACAGAGATGGTGCCTCAGTCCTCCAAGACCTCCTAGCCTACTTTCCAGGCCTCAGGGTGCTGAGATTTGCCAACAATCAGAACTGTAAGGGCAGCCTATGTGTGTGGTGTGTGATGAGGGGCCCCGGGCCCCAGGCCCCAGGCATTCCACAAGGATTTTCTGATTTAGATCCTTGCACTGTGCCCAGCACTCCCCAGACTGGACAAGGAAGCCCCACTGCTGCCTCCAGAGCGATGGGCAGGGCCCCCCATCTGCCACCCAAGTAGGGTGGCTCAGTGAGGGGTTCTGTGTGTTGGGTGACCCCTCCTTTGACACTGGCTTGCAGAGAGGCCCCAGCCTCGTTCCTGTCGTCTGTAGGCCTTTTCTGTCCTCATCCCAGGGCTGCTCAATTTCATCCCAGCTTCCAGCCCTAGGATCCCTGAGACCCTCTGCTCAGACAAAGACAGCAGGGATGCGGCCACTGGCCCGCGATCAGCCGGCTGAGCCTGTCGGCCAGTGGGTACCAAAGGTGGCCTAGAAGTATAGGGCGCTGCCCTGGGCCAGTCTGGCCGTGGGGAGGACATCTCCAGATAGAGCTTCACCACCCAACCCGGCCTAGGCTGCAGGAGCTTGGGGCGCCAGGAAGACATCCACAAGTCTTGACCTTCTCTCACAGCATTTACTTAAAAAGGCCTGCAATGTGGTGCTCCCTGGGCCAGGGGCACAAATAGGGCCAGCCTCCGCTCAGGGGTAGCGCCGGCGGCCCCGCGGTCACTGCTGTGCTCCGGGAGCCTATGCCCAGCCGTGTCCGGACAGCCTAACCCGGCCGGGCGCTCCCTCCCGCACCCACCTATGCGGCCGCCTCACCCCGCCGCAGGAGGCAGGTGCCTCCAGCAGGCGCGTCCAATGCGGGAAGCATCGTGCCGAGGTCGGTCCCGAGGAGCCCAGGAGGCGGAAACGAGCCACTGGCCAGCAAAGAGCAGCGGTTGAGCCCCTGACACCCGGATCCTCCTCCCCTGCAGCCTGACTCAGCCATCGCCTAGGCCGCGTTGCGCCCTCCCGCCGCCAGGGGGTGCTGCAGACGCCGCGGGAGCGCCTCCCGCCTCACTATTTTGCTTCCGGTAGTTCCGGAAGTTAGGCTTCCGAGAGTGGCGAGCTTTGCTTCCGGTTCCGGGTAGCGGGGCTGCAGCGCCTTATGATGAGACCCAGGTGAGTGGGCCGGGGTGTCTTCAAGTTCTGTCCCGGGTCGTCAGCACCGCCTGGTGAAACCTGGTCAAGCCCCTCCCGGCAGGTCGGAGATGGCCTGTGCAGTTCCCGCAGACTCGCTTGCTGGCCAGGCCTGCCCTTCCCCAGGCGCCTGCGATAGTGGAGCGAATGAGTGAATGAATAAACGAATGTCTTTTTTTCCGTGCTGGTCTCTTTCTCAGGTGACACATGAACAGCTGGAGCCGCGAGGGGACGGGGCAGGATGAACCGGGCCAAGCCCACCACCGTACGGAGGCCCAGCGCCGCGGCCAAGCCTTCAGGTGCGTCGTGCAGCCGGAGGTTCTTGGGACTTCCCGGCTGCCAGAGCCCGCGTTATGGCTTAGTCGTTCAGCAGCGGAGATTCTTTTCAGGAGTTGGGTCTAGAGAAACAACCCGCGGTCCTAAGCGGCTCTAGGAATCCCTGGAAGAGTTGGAACAGCTGCGTCTTCTTCGGGGGCACTGGTTATCTGATTTAGGCTGAGCGCAGGAGGCAGCAGACAGTAGGGTAGGATGTCTTGTGCCCAGAGACAGGAAGCAGCTAGAAGCACAAACTCTGGGGCCAGACTGCTCAAATCCTGGCTTGGCCACTCTCCTGCTTGGGCATGTTTCCCACATGACCTCTGTTTTCCTTGTCTGTAAGGTGACAGGAATAGTATCCATCTCATGTTGAGCACTAAGCAAACCAGGACATGTGAGTTAGAGCCCGGCTGGTTTGTGGTAAGCTCTATGGAACTTTGAGCTGTCACTCTTGTGAACATTCTCCCAGCCTCAGCTCTGCTGTTGTCTTGTTGAGTAACCTCAAGTGTGTTTCTTGCCTTCTCTGACCCTCGTTTAATCACCTGTGAAGTAACAGGATGGTAGAGTCAGTCCTTTTCCATGTTGGAGGTTGCAAATATGCTAGTTTTTTCTCTTTCCTTTCTCTGCAGGGCACCCTCCACCGGGAGACTTCATTGCTCTGGGCTCAAAGGGTCAAACCAACGAGTCAAAAACAGCATCCACCTTGCTGAAGCCAGCCCCTTCTGGCCTGCCTTCGGAGCGAAAGCGGGATGCTGCAGCTGCTTTGTCTGGTGCTTCTGCCCTGACTGGCCTTACTAAACGCCCCAAACTCTCTTCCACACCCCCTCTGAGTGCCCTAGGGCGCCTGGCTGAGGCTGCAGTGGCAGAAAAACGAGCCATTTCTCCCTCTATTAAGGAACCATCTGTGGTGCCAATTGAAGGTAAAGTCAAGTGTTAGACTTTTCCAGAGAATGTGTCCTACACTGTGTCAGTCAACTAAGTGTTTAGTAAAGGTAATCTCCAGGCCTTGTGCTGCCTGGATGGCACAGGTCCTGTAAGAGAAACGGTTGTTGTTTTTTTTATTTGTGTTCTTCAGAGAACTTCTCATGTGGGAACCTTTACTCTGCTGGACCCCCAGTTGGTGTTCTTTGGGAAGTAGTGCAGTCTTTTGTGCAGTTAAGCATCTATGTGTCTGTTAAGCACCTCCTTTGTGACAGGCTTTTTTCTGATCCCTGGGGGGGTAAACCACAGGTGGTGACACCCACATCTGTATTCTCAGGATTATACATTCTAGTGTATCTCTAAACTTGAGAGATGGTTTTTACCTCGTTTGTCCTTTTCTTCTAATTATTAGCAATGAAGAGTTTATTTCTTCCCCTTTTTTCTTCAGTTGAAAGGCAACACAGCAATATCAGTAAAGACATCAAAAGGGCAATATAAGCTTTATCCATGATCCCATTGCTCTCACACATCCTTTCAATTTTGCATTTGTCTAAAATTGATCCTGCTTTTCTACATCATTTTGCTAAGGATCATGCTTAATGGCTCGTTGATAGCCCATAGAGTAGAGCTGTTATAGTCAACTGAGTCCCTCTGTTGAGCATATAGACACTCTAATGGCAAACTTCCTTTGTGTGTTTTTTATGTCTGTCGGAGCATTTCTTTAGGGTAATTTCTTTGTAGGAGTCAAAAAGAACATGTGTCCTGATAACTTTGATAATGGTTTATCTCTTAAAACTAAGCTGCCACTTATTGCTGAATTTTGTCATATGCAAGGCACAGAGGGAACTTGGGCTGTGGCTTTTGCCCCCTGAGGGACCAGGTTATTGTAATGCAAGCCTGTGTGTGAGTCCTCATGAAGACCTTAGAAATGGGGAGTTAAAAATGTGACTCCACCATAGCCTTGCAAGGGAGAAAGCTTATCAGGGAATCATACTGTGAGCTTGGGCCTAGAAACATATAGACAGGATATTACTCAGCAGAGAGAGAGGAGAAGTGAACCAGGGAGCAAAGGCTAGGTCTGGGTGGGCAGTACTCAGTGGTGAGACCTTAGGCTGTTGTGTTGTGGACAGTGTCCCTGCTGGGTTCAGTTGGCCGCAGGAGCCTGGGAGCATATGGAACAGGATGATGGAGCTGGGGCAGTGCTTTGGGAGGTGAGTTGGGCAGCAGCTGCCCTAGACCTCCCCTGGGAAGCCAGTGCTGGTGAAGATTGAAAGTGATCACAGGGAACTGGGGGCTTGACTCAGCTGTGCTTCTCTCCTTCACTGTCTGTACTTTATTTTGTTCAGCATCACCTCCCATAAAAGGTGGTTTTGGAGATTAACTGAGATTTGGTATTAAAAAGCATATTCTGAATGATAAAGTACTTTATGATATTAGATATCGTTAGTAAAACAGAAAGCTGTGTCCAGCTGTTCCTAGTGTCTATTTGGAATCCCTCTAATGCCAGACCCTCTGTGACTACATTCCCCCCCATCCTGCCTGCTTTGTCTAGTGTCAGGAGGTACCAGTGAGTCCTCTATCTTTGGTGCAGTTAAGTTAGAAATCAGAGCACCTCCCTCCATATGTTTGTATGTTTAAAAATGCAACCATAAATAAGTCTTGGGTAAAAGTTAAGGCAAAGAGACTTCTGGCAAGGCAGATTCAGAGAAAAAGAGAGGCACAATAAATAATGTTAGAGACAACTGAAGGTGGAGCTGCAATTAGGAGAAAAGTGAGCCAGGTGCAGTGACTCAAACCTGTAATCTTAGCACTCTGGGAGGCCAAGGCAGGTGGATTGCCTAAGCTGATGGGTTCAATTCCAGCCTGAGCAAGACCCTGCCTCTAAAAATAGTTGGGCGTTGTGGCGGGCAACTGTAGTCCCAGCTACTTGGGAAGCAAAGGCAAGAGGATCACTTGAACCCAAGAATTTGAGGTTGCTGTGAGCTAATGATGCCATGGCATTCAACCCCAGGGCAACTGAGTGAAACTCTGTCTCAAAAAAAAAAAAAAAAA